AACTTAGCTTGTAGCAGACGTGCACATTTTCAGCATGACGTCTCTGATCCACTGGTAAAAGGACACTTTGATCCTCTCCTCTTTCATCTATAACTGCTTCAGACAACAAAGTGTATGCAGGAAAGTGGTGAAGATTGCACGACTATCTGTGTCCTATGTGTTGTGTTGTGTTATTTTTGTTATTTTGACTTCAAGATGGCGCCGCGTGAGTGGCTGCCTTTCCAGCAGCTCCTATATTTTGTTGTTCTTCTTCTTCCATTCATAACTTTGCTGCTGTGAATTGGGAATTTCTCCATTGCGAGACTAATAAAGGTTTTCTTATCTTATCTTATCTTATGTTAGTATGTGCTTCCATCCACAACACGATTTACAGGAGTTCTTTTATCCACCATGAAGGCCTGCCAGAGGAAAAAGGAATGACTTACCATCAAGTCCTGCCTTACCTTTCCGTGACTCATTCTCGACCGTCGTCAGACTGATATTCCGACTTAAGTGACATTTGGCCCTATTAGGTATGACACTCATGGCCACGCCTTTATGGCATTAAAACACATTACCTTTGACCCGCAGTAACCACGTCACAAATTAGGGACTGATGCCATTTTACTCTGCACTGTGTAAACGCAGCAGAACTCCAAAACTCAAAGCAAAAATAAACCTACTTCAATCAAGGACAGGAACCTGGGCCATCGAGCTGGCCTAGAAGCTACACATTGACTCCTTGTGTTGTTGCACGTTTCGCAAAAACGATTTATCGTCTGAAACGGGTTAAGGTGAGAAAGACAATGCAGAAGCACAGCACCCCTGTTAAGTAGAGAGCTTTAAAGAGAGAACAAATGCTGACGTTGGGCTAAACCGGAGCGCAGAAGCTAGCGCGGCGTTTTACTTGTTAGCAACTAGCTATCGGGAACTCAATCCACACCACCTGCTTGTAGGGTCACGATTACCCATATGGCAAGTTACACTCACCTGGATTGGTTCATCGTGATGCCCCGGTCCATGGTCGTGCTCCACTCCATCCACCTCGACCTCAAACACCCCGGCCATCTTCGCAGGGCTTCTTTATCTTTCCGGAGCCATTCGCAAGTAGGAACATGTCATACGGTCATTTCCGGTTTGTCTTTCCTGGTTTGGGTCTCAAAATAAAAGTTAACCAATCAGATTTGATCGTCTGCAAAACAAATTCACGTTGTTGTCTGAAAATCCTCATTAGAATTCAGTGAAATGTTAGCGCACATTTTATTTCCAACATTCTATTTGACAAAGTAAGGCAGCGTCATTTATATAGCACATTTCATACACTGGGCGACTCAATGTGTTTCACACAAGCAAGGAAACAACTACAAGCATTGACAAACCCAATTAATGGCCTTAAGAAGAAAAGCAGATAAAACAAAAGCATCTCACAAAAATTACTGAAAGAACAATACATTTACAACGTTTAAACACATTAACAGAAAAAGCTCAAAAAACATCGAAAAGGAAAGAAATACGAGTGTTCTCTAAAATAACTAAAATAAGAAAATTAATATTTTTTTGGGGGGGGGGGGGGGGGGGGGGGGGGGGAGCAAAGATTAAAACCTGGATTTAAAACTATCTACACTTGGGGCTGATGTCACTTACTGGCGGTGAATTCCATTATATTATTCCAAGTGCGACATTTGAACACGCTTTTTCATTCATAGCTTTCAAAGTTATCCTTCGAAGATTACTGTAGCATCACTTAGAATATAATTGTTTCAAGTCAAAACTTGTTGTTTGAGTATTCCCGCCACATTCAGACCGGAAAAACAAAACATAAGTTGTAAATGGCCCCCAATGGAGGATAGCGATTGGTTGAGAGGCCAACGAGAGTTTCATCTGATTGGCCAGACGGCCGACGCAATGCGGTCTAACTGGTCTGCAGCTTGTTGGCGCTTTCATTGTCAGATTCAACCGTAGAACTGCTGTAGAACCTCTGCAGTGTAAATAAAAACGTCTATCTTTAGCCATTTTCGAGGTTACTGCGAATACAAAACCAAGAGGCGCTGCCAGACGAAACTGTCAACATGCATGTGATCAAACGAGGTATTGTGGCTTGTTTAAACTTTTTATTTTGTAAATACACTATTGCGACGCATTAGGATGCGCCGGGTATTTCTTTTTAACTCTAAATAATGTATCAGTAATGTCTTAAATGTATCGAAACGTTTTTTTAACGTTTTAAGACTGCGATTGCCTTCACTGCTATTAGATGTGTACTGTAAAATGAACTGTGTTTTTGCACAAAGAAGCCTCACAAAGGCTTTTCTTCTGAACAACAATGCAACATTGTATTGCACTTTCAAATGTACGTGTTTGCTTTTTTATTTATTTTTCGTAAAATCATGGGACAACGTGTAAGGTTGTAAGGATAGTGCGGAATCTGTGATGGCGCGAAGTGGCGTTTGTCATTGTGGCTGGGTGGACAGGTGTTGTCACCTCACCCTTTATGAAAAATGAAGGACTTACATGCAATATTTGAGTTATTACAGAAATTAGACAAAAAAATTGAAAACCAACAGTTCATTTCTTTTTTCCTCTTCTTCTAGACGGCTAAAATTATTTCAGTAATGATTGTTGTTTGTTGAAACACTGCTTCAGCTCATAATTACAATTTAAAATCTGCTTTTGATAGAAGAGTGTTTTAACCATCACAAGTGAGACATCAACAAAGTCATACTGCACCTAAAAAGCTGATTAAAAACTTTGATTTACAAGTTTGTCATAAAGAGTGAGACAACAAAAAAATATTTTTGAGCGGTGCTGAAGAGCTTTTCGTTATTTTTTTGTGATATTAAGGTATCACGCACATTGCTACGATTACATGTACCCACAAGACAACTATAATTTACACCAGTACCTGTTTTGGGATTTTGTGCATTAATTATTTGAAAATTCAACAGGGGGTGGGGGCAGGAAGTGTCCTCCAATTCATGAATGACTCATATGCTGTAAATTATGCACTGGTGAATGAACTTGCCTCATGTTTTGTTTTTTTTCCTCCCCAGATGGACGCCAAGAGGCAGTTAGCTTTGATAAAATCACATCTCGCATCCTGAAGCTTTGCTATGGCCTCAATTTGGATTTTGTAGACCCTGTAAGTTCAAGTTATTGACCTAAAAAGTACCATATGTTCTATTTGTTTTAACTCCTACTCCCTGCGTCTGCAGACTGGGATCACAATGAAGGTGATCCAGGGTTTGTATAACGGCGTAAGCACTGTGGAGCTGGACACTCTGGCCGCAGAGACCGCCGCTACCCTGACTACCAAACATCCCGACTACGCCATCCTGGCAGCACGGATTGCCGTGTCTAACCTGCACAAGGAAACCAAGAAAGTCTTCAGTGGTAAGTTGCACAGGCATGGACAGAATGATGTGGTCGGGCCATAAAACAGGCAGCAATCGGGTTAACTTTTTTCTTTTTAAAGACGTGATGGAGGACCTGTATGCCTACATCAACCCAGTCAACAAGCGTCACCTCCCCATGATCTCGAAAGAGACACTCGACATTGTGCTGGAAAACAAAGCTGTAAGTTACTTTTGATAATAAATCAAGTCAGGCTTGCACATTGCGTGACGAAATAGTTTGGAATTGGCATGCTCTTTCGCCCTATGCCTGAATTCTTCAATAAGCGAGGTTAAAGCGCCTGGGATTCCCTCCCAAAAATGTTAATAAAAAAATATATATATTTAAAAAAAAAAAAAAAAAAAATCCGAATAGGTGAAGCCTCGGTTGCCACATCACAAATGACGCAACAATAAAGTTGCTCTTAAAATATTTTCAGAATCAATACAGTGAAAATTGTGTAAATTTTAAAGAATTAAGTATTACTTTTGATTAAAAATTGGTATATTCCAATAATGACGTTAATAAAAACAATTTACAAGAATAATGTCATGTTTTTTTTAACTGTAATATTACAAGAATTATGCAGTCATTTTGGAGTGAATTTTATGATGGAACAAACATGTAAAGAGGCCATTTTGTGAAAGTTAGACACTGACATGATCCCGATGTTGGGGAATTCCATCTTTATTCTTAGTTTATCACTATTGTCATCACATTGCAGTTCGTTTTTTAAAAATCTTATTTTACATTACATGTTTATATTCTTATTGAGGCTTTATCCTTCCAATTCTATGACTTCATTCTTTATCCTTGTATTTTTTATACTTTTTCAGAGTGACCCAAATACTTTGTGATTTTTTTTTTTTTTTTTGGGGGGGGTGTGATGAAGACTTGATTTATTCTTTTTATTTTGCAGCGTCTCAACTCTGCCATCATTTACGACAGAGACTTTTCGTACAACTTCTTTGGTTTCAAGGTGATTTCACTGGTTCATCACAAGAAATATTTCAAATCAACTTTCGGAGCCCGTATCTAATTTTCCCTTTTTGTCTTAGACTCTTGAGCGATCATACTTGTTGAAAATAAATGGCAAAGGTGAGTACCGCGTTTTGTCCACCCACCCCCAGTCATACTCAGGGTTATCTGATTTGTATTAACACAATTATGCTTGTGTAGTGGCTGAGAGACCCCAGCACATGCTAATGAGAGTGGCGGTGGGCATTCACAAAGGAGATATCGATGCCGCTATTGAGACTTACAACCTACTGTCAGAGAAATGGTTCACGCACGCCTCCCCGACTCTATTCAACGCTGGTACCAACAATCCACAACTGTCCAGGTAGGGACAACCGTGATCAAGGCAGCAGCCCAAATGTCGCGAAGAGTGAACTGAATTGACGTTTTTTTTTTTTTTTTAAACAGCTGTTTCCTGCTAGCGATAAAGGATGACAGCATCGATGGTATTTATGACACACTGAAGCATTGCGCCCTCATCTCTAAATCGGCGGGAGGCATCGGGTTGGCCGTCAGCTGCATCAGAGCTACCGGGAGCTACATTGCTGGGGTGAGGCTTTGCTTCACAAGTATACAGTAAAAGAGCTTCAATAAACGCGTACGATGTCGTTATAAGTGCTCTATAAATACAGTTGAGTTGAGTTATCCTCATTTCATAAAATACATTTTCATTTCAGACAAACGGCACTTCGAATGGGCTGGTTCCGATGCTCCGTGTTTACAACAACACGGCGCGCTATGTTGACCAAGGAGGCAATAAGGTCAGGGCAGCCATCTTTGGACTTCAAATCTGGCGAATCTATGTGATAAAACCTGAATAAACTGTACTTTCGGTGTTTTAAGTAGCATTCTTGCGCTCATGGACTCAAATTAAATGTGATGCAAAGTGGGCAGTTTTTTTTTTTTTTTTTTTAAATCCACACACCCCTTTTGTAAAGCCAGGTTTTTGTGAAGAGGGAAAATGTCATGCTTGCATTTATCTTCAGGTTTCAGTATACATTCCATTATTTTTCTTTGGCATTACTGTACTGGTACCCTTTAATGACCATATTAAAAAAAACACACACACACACACACACACACACACACACACACACACACACACACACACAACCCAACTATGGAAATCATCTTTTGCTGCTCACTTAGAGGAAGTTTTATCAGATAAGCACACTGACTTAATACATTTTGACCTTTTTTCCAAATTGTCAAACCTCAAAATAGAACCTAAGAGATTAACTAATCATTGTTAAAAAAAATAATAAAATCTTCCTTCATTTTTACAGAGACCCGGTGCATTCGCTGTCTACTTAGAGCCGTGGCATTTCGATGTATTTGACTTTCTGGAGTTAAAGAAGAACACGGGTAAAGAGGAGCAGAGGGCCAGAGACCTTTTCTTTGCTATGTGGATCCCAGACCTCTTCATGAAACGCGTAGAAAGCAATCAGGTTCGTAAAGTTTATTTTACACCGAATGATTATTCATTTGGTTGAAAGTGGTTCATAACTTACTTCACTTCTGTCTTGCTCTTTTAGGACTGGTCTCTCATGTGCCCCGATGAGTGTCCCGGTTTGGACGAGTGCTGGGGAGAAGAATTTGAGGAGCTCTACACAAGGTCGAGGAAGAAATCAGTTGATCAGCAATTCATTCTGCGGCATCAACATACTCACTCCTCAATCCTGTCCGTTCCTAAGATACGAGAAGGAGGGCCGGGCTAAGCGTGTGGTGAAGGCTCAGCAGGTGTGGTACGCCAAAAAAAAAAAAAAAAAATCCGAATAGGTGAAGCCTCGGTTGCCACATCACAAATGACGCAACAATAAAGTTGCTCTTAAAATATTTTCAGAATCAATACAGTGAAAATTGTGTAAATTTTAAAGAATTAAGAATTACTTTTGATTAAAAATTGGTATATTCCAATAATGACGTTAATAAAAACAATTTACAAGAATAATGTCATGTTTTTTTTAACTGTAATATTACAAGAATTATGCAGTCATTTTGGAGTGAATTTTATGATGGAACAAACATGTAAAGAGGCCATTTTGTGAAAGTTAGACACTGACATGATCCCGATGTTGGGGAATTCCATCTTTATTCTTAGTTTATCACTATTGTCATCACATTGCAGTTCGTTTTTTAAAAATCTTATTTTACATTACATGTTTATATTCTTATTGAGGCTTTATCCTTCCAATTCTATGACTTCATTCTTTATCCTTGTATTTTCTATACTTTTTCAGAGTGAGCCAAATACTTTGTGATTTTTTTTTTTTAAATTATTATTTTTTTGTGGGGGTGTGTGATGAAGACTTGATTTATTCTTTTTATTTTGCAGCGTCTCAACTCTGCCATCATTTACGACAGAGACTTTTCGTACAACTTCTTTGGTTTCAAGGTGATTTCACTGGTTCATCACAAGAAATATTTCAAATCAACTTTCGGAGCCCGTATCTAATTTTCCCTTTTTGTCTTAGACTCTTGAGCGATCATACTTGTTGAAAATAAATGGCAAAGGTGAGTACCGCGTTTTGTCCACCCACCCCCAGTCATACTCAGGGTTATCTGATTTGTATTAACACAATTATGCTTGTGTAGTGGCTGAGAGACCCCAGCACATGCTAATGAGAGTGGCGGTGGGCATTCACAAAGGAGATATCGATGCCGCTATTGAGACTTACAACCTACTGTCAGAGAAATGGTTCACGCACGCCTCCCCGACTCTATTCAACGCTGGTACCAACAATCCACAACTGTCCAGGTAGGGACAACCGTGATCAAGGCAGCAGCCCAAATGTCGCGAAGAGTGAACTGAATTGACGTTTTTTTTTTTTTTTTTAAACAGCTGTTTCCTGCTAGCGATAAAGGATGACAGCATCGATGGTATTTATGACACACTGAAGCATTGCGCCCTCATCTCTAAATCGGCGGGAGGCATCGGGTTGGCCGTCAGCTGCATCAGAGCTACCGGGAGCTACATTGCTGGGGTGAGGCTTTGCTTCACAAGTATACAGTAAAAGAGCTTCAATAAACGCGTACGATGTCGTTATAAGTGCTCTATAAATACAGTTGAGTTGAGTTATCCTCATTTCATAAAATACATTTTCATTTCAGACAAACGGCACTTCGAATGGGCTGGTTCCGATGCTCCGTGTTTACAACAACACGGCGCGCTATGTTGACCAAGGAGGCAATAAGGTCAGGGCAGCCATCTTTGGACTTCAAATCTGGCGAATCTATGTGATAAAACCTGAATAAACTGTACTTTCGGTGTTTTAAGTAGCATTCTTGCGCTCATGGACTCAAATTAAATGTGATGCAAAGTGGGCAGTAGTTTTTTTTTTTTTTTTTAAATCCACACACCCCTTTTGTAAAGCCAGGTTTTTGTGAAGAGGGAAAATGTCATGCTTGCATTTATCTTCAGGTTTCAGTATACATTCCATTATTTTTCTTTGGCATTACTGTACTGGTACCCTTTAATGACCATATTAAAAAAAACACACACACACACACACACACACACACACACACACAACCCAACTATGGAAATCATCTTTTGCTGCTCACTTAGAGGAAGTTTTATCAGATAAGCACACTGACTTAATACATTTTGACCTTTTTTCCAAATTGTCAAACCTCAAAATAGAACCTAAGAGATTAACTAATCATTGTTAAAAAAAATAATAAAATCTTCCTTCATTTTTACAGAGACCCGGTGCATTCGCTGTCTACTTAGAGCCGTGGCATTTCGATGTATTTGACTTTCTGGAGTTAAAGAAGAACACGGGTAAAGAGGAGCAGAGGGCCAGAGACCTTTTCTTTGCTATGTGGATCCCAGACCTCTTCATGAAACGCGTAGAAAGCAATCAGGTTCGTAAAGTTTATTTTACACCGAATGATTATTCATTTGGTTGAAAGTGGTTCATAACTTACTTCACTTCTGTCTTGCTCTTTTAGGACTGGTCTCTCATGTGCCCCGATGAGTGTCCCGGTTTGGACGAGTGCTGGGGAGAAGAATTTGAGGAGCTCTACACAAGGTCGAGGAAGAAATCAGTTGATCAGCAATTCATTCTGCGGCATCAACATACTCACTCCTCAATCCTGTCCGTTCCTAAGATACGAGAAGGAGGGCCGGGCTAAGCGTGTGGTGAAGGCTCAGCAGGTGTGGTACGCCATCATCGAGTCCCAGACTGAAACGGGCACTCCGTACATGCTGTACAAGGACGCTTGCAATGGGAAGAGCAACCAGCAGAACCTCGGGACCATCAAATCCAGCAATTTGTGCACCGAGATTGTCGAGTATACCAGTAAAGATGAGGTATGACGCGTGTTATAGTGATTCTGTCACGATGCGAGGTGGTGGAGGACGCCAAAAAGCAGGCAGGAGGGAGGAGCAGGGTGAACTTTACAAATTGTATTAACAAACACTGAGAAAACTTCAAACAGAACATAAACCTGAAGACAGCAAGAATCCAAAGTAACAAACAAAAACCCATGGCAGAAGCAAAAGACGAACAGGAACAGAATCACCAATAGAAAACAGTGACAGCAACAAACAGTGATCCGACACGGAGTGGTCGTGTCGGGAGTCCTTTTAAACAAACTAATGACACAATGACCAACAGGTGTGCAGCTGCAGGCGGAGCCCTACAGTGCCACCTGTTGGTCACAAACAGAACCATGACGGGACAAATGACACAATGACCAACAGGTGTGCAGCTGCAGGCGGAGCCCTACAGTGCCATCTGTTGGTCACAAACAGAACCATGGCAGATTCATTGGAAAAAAGATACAGCACAATTTTTTTGTGAATCGTTTTGCCAAGTGGTATGCCATGATTTTTAATTTTTTTCCCCCGATGTGAAATAAAAAAGGTTACGAAACACGAGACGGTAACAAGTACTACTGTACATATTTTGGTTTCAACTCTGAATATATGTAATTTTAGTGGGGCATCAATTATTTGCGTTTTATCACTATTTGCGACAGGGCTCAGCCGCCATGACTGTATTTGAAAGCACACGTTCCGAAGTTGACCCCGATGCCTGGAATCGCAAATTACAGGATGGATGCAATGCACTCGCGTAACCTCGTTTTCCAACACAGGTTGCAGTGTGCAACTTGGCTTCCATTGCCCTCAACATGTACGTCACCTCCGAGAAGACCTATGACTTCAAAAGGCTTGCGTCTGTCACCAAAGTCATCGTGAAGAACCTCAACAAGATCATTGACGTCAACTACTACCCCGTGCCCGAGGTACCCCTGCCATTCTCATTCGGCCATCACGATGACGCTTGTGTGCGGCGCTCAACCCTCTTCTCCACTCTCTTAGGCTGAGCGCTCGAACAAACGTCACCGGCCAATAGGAATTGGCGTTCAGGGCCTTGCTGATGCCTTCATCCTGATGCGTTACCCGTTTGAAAGCCGGGAAGCCCAGTTGCTCAACACCCAAATCTTCGAGACCATCTACTACGCCGCTTTGGAGGCCAGTTGCGAGCTAGCGGCTGAATTGGGGCCTTACGAAACCTACGCTGGTTCACCCGTTAGCAAGGGGGTGAGCCGCTTTATGTCTTACATCCATCCGACGTTCGTGGAATTTTTTTTGAGGCGGAGGCCGATCCTGATTTTGGACGGAGTAAAGTTCAGATTAATTGGTCGATTAATGTAAAAAAGAATTACGAATAAAGTAACTTTTTTTGTCCCTTAACATTTACAGCAATATCAATATTTGTTTCACTTAACTAACTCATGCCCTGGTTACAAAATGGCCGATCCAAACCTTCATGTTTTTATTTTTTGCTCCGCAGATACTCCAGTATGACATGTGGGGGCGAATCCCGACTGATTTGTGGGACTGGAGCGCCTTGAAGGAGAAAATAGCCAAGTAAGCAGTGGTGGTAACAACGCATGTTTTTGTGACTCACCACAGTCTCTGGGCTCACTCCGCTGCTCTTCCTTACCCGCGTGTTCTGCAGGCACGGCGTTAGAAACAGTTTGCTCTTGGCGCCCATGCCCACGGCCTCCACTGCTCAGATCCTCGGGAATAATGAGTCTATCGAGGCCTACACCAGCAATATCTACACCCGCAGAGTGCTCTCGGGGGAATTTCAGGTTAGCACTACCCACTCGTCATGGATGAAGTCACACAATTTCACATTTTTATTTTAAACCTGTCCTCTGATGTTCACTGAAAATCTCATATTTTCAAAGAAATAAGCATATGTTGGCACTGCCATTTGGCAACAAGAAACTGTTGAAATGAGTTTGCGGCGCTTAATTTAGACAACATTAGTGTTTGCTGCCATCTTGTGGCATATCGGTGACAAGAAAATCTGGCTACGTCCGAATTCGCAGGCTGCGTCCTCTGAAGGGCGCATTTTTGACCGCATGACGTCGCTTCCGGCGCAACTCGGCCGCACGTGGTTTCTAAATTTTAGAAAGACAATTCGCAGGCTTGGTCCTCAAGGTCTCCTCCTCATGTGACCTCCTGAGACCGCATAAACCGTGGCGACTTTGAACAGGCTTAATGTGAATTTTGAAACCACGTACGGTTGAGTCGCACCGGAAGTGATGTCATGCGGCCAAAAAAAATAAAAATGCGGCCTTCGGAGGACGTAGCCTGTGAATTTGGACACAGCCTATGTTGAAGTAAGTTCAGTTAGACGTACCATGTGCTTTGTTTCCTTTTTTCAAATTCATTTTAGTATCTTACTCACCAATGCAAACCCCCGGTCGCTGTGCTGTGCATTGTCTCTTCGGCAGATTGTCAATCCTCACCTGCTGAAGGACCTCACAGAGCGAGGACTGTGGAACGATGACATGAAGAACCAACTGATTGCTCAGAATGGCTCCATCCAGGTCGCCGTCACATTTACGACAACCCGATGGAATTAAGATATCTCTTACCGATCCGGTAGTCGAATTTGGTCTTCACATATTTATTCTAAAACAGGCCATTGAGGAAATCCCAGCTGATCTGAAGCAGTTGTACAAAACCGTGTGGGAGATCTCTCAAAAAACCGTCTTGAAAATGGCAGCCGACCGCGGCGCCTACATTGACCAGAGCCAGTCGCTGAACATCCACATTGCCGAGCCCAACTACGGCAAACTGAGCAGCATGCACTTCTACGGCTGGAAGTTGGTGAGTCATACCAATGACAACGTGTCCGCAAACCGAGCCCCCCCCCCCCGACGTAACTTAACCATCTTGTTTTGGCGTGCAGGGCCTTAAAACGGGCATGTACTACCTGAGGACGAAGCCCGCAGCCAACCCCATCCAATTCACCCTCAACAAAGAGAAGCTAAAAGAAGCTCAGACGACGAAGTGTTCGGGGGAGGAGAGCAAAGAGCGCAACATGGCCACCCTGGTGTGTTCGCTAGCCAATAAAGACGAGTGTCTGATGTGTGGCTCCTAGCTGAATCACTACACGAGCGCGCAAAATTTCCATTTTTGCCATAACAGGTTTGTAAATACTATGTACTTGCGTTATGTACTTGCTTCGAAGTTATTTAATATTCGCTGGGATTATCAGTTATGTTGTACAGTGTATCATATGGAACAATAGAATGCAATTTTTGTACACTTTGTGGTGTGTTTTTAGACAGTGTATCCCTCATAAATTAACTTTTTAAATGCACCAAATATAACAATTTTGACACTAATACGATCGCAGGAATGATTTCCAGAGACCTCATTAGGCACATCTGCACAATCTAATGATATCTGGATACATGACCTTTAAAAAAAAAAATCCTTTACAGGGATAATGTTACTCAGTTCTGATTGTTCGAGACATTATAATTCAGTGTTTATTTTAGCACTTGCTCTGTAGTATGCGGTGGTAGAGCTGCAGAATGTAACTAAATAGAAAACCTTGGAACGTGAAATATGCTGCGGTGCGACAACACATTGTATTTTACCTTACTGAAACCAGTAAACATTCAGGGGCTTGACAGGAATCATAGTTTGGATCGTGTGACGGCATGCAGTAATTCATTGTCACGCATGTATGTTCTTAATATGTCTCTGCACGAGATTCATGCTGCTTGGTTGTTTTTCCCACTGTGGAGTCTCCCACAACAGACACAAATAAACGTGACATGAACGACATTGCAGTTGTGTGGTTGCTTGAGTTACCAGACAGGGAAAGCAAGATCCAAACAACACCGGCATGTTTTCCACTGGTGGAGTTTGGATGCGATGTGCCGTAGGGACATGCTTCAGGTGATCAATTAACGAAGGCGACCTTGTGGGAGCAGAACGTGTGAAGCAAGCTGAGACCTGCACTGTTACCCTTTGGCATTACGTTTCCGCCTGCTGAACAAACATGTGTGCCCTTGTTAATGAAACGAAACAGTAGGCATTTTGTCAAACTCAATTTAATTGTCTTGGAAAATGTCAATAATAATACATGAGTTTTATACAGCACTTTTCTAGAAACTCAAAAGCAAATAAGACATAGGGAACCCACGCAGACAAATGGGAGAACATGCAAACTCCACATAGGAAGGCGGGAGCCGGAATCAAACCCTGCATCTCTGCACTGAGTCGGACATGCTAACCAGTCACCCACCATTATAAAACAGAGACACAGACATACATGGAGTCGGTCAAAACTCCTTAGTAACTTGCAGGAATATTAGCTGTTTTTCACAGAGGATAGAAATGAAATGCCCGTGAGCATTATTGTCTGTCTACATGTTTTGCTCCACCATTTGAGTGTATTACCTAAACATCTGTTTATGGACTGAAATGAAATGGATATGAACAAGTGCCAAATATCTTACTCAACGACTGTATGGCCGCCTGTCTCATCGATGGATGCCTCCCCATCTTCGGAACCAAATCCCGTGTCCCCGGAACTGCTGCTACCAGATGGTGACGGTATTGTCGTGTGACTCAAAGGATTTTCACCGTCATCACATCCTTTGCGGTTATTCGGCTCAAACTGTCGCCCTTTCATCCATCTGGCCTCCACTTTCTTTTCTTCTAGCTCGATATCTTTAAACGGATTAACCATATTCTCTGTGTCAACCTCCTCGTTGATGACTTTTTGAACTCCTTTAGGGGTATCAGAAAGTATCACATTTTCTTCTGGATTTAAATGTGCCCCCGCGGCGATCTCCTCTGGGTTGTCACTTGTGTTAGTGTCGAGCTGCTCTTTTTCCAGTTGAACTCTACCCTCCTCCATCTTCATTAAATCTCCGCGTGACACCGGCCTTGATCTCGCCTCTTCACACTGGCCCCGGTGATGCCCGTCTGACTCCTTCACATCCGCTTGGCCTTTTATTTCATCCTCCTCTTCCGCCTCGTGATGCACCGTTACGTCACGTGACGTAGTTTTCTCATCCGGCTGGCTGTTAAAGCCTCTGAAATTGTTTTTGGCGCCGATGATGTATTTGCCGAGGAAAGACGAGCCGCCCTTGGACGACGGATCGGCCGCGGGGTGTCCCTCATCGAGCAAATGCTGGTGGACCACTTTCAGGTCATTGTGCATCCTCAGGATGGCTTTGCTCAGCTCAGTGACACGATTACCAATATCTGATGGGGAAAGCATCACATGATTGCATTTGGGTGGGGATTCATTTTGTTGAGTTTCTCTTGGTAGCTGCCTTTAACAAATTATTATGAAGGGGAAAAGTTTTCATTTGTATTTGGGATTTAAAATAGATATATTTTAATGACACGAGTCGTGTAACATTTCTGACAGACCTTGGACAACGTTTATCCCCTCAACATACAGTAAATGAATGAGTACACCCCAAGGGATTTGGAGAATCTTGAGTTTCCGTCAGAATCAATAAGAGAGAGAAAATACTTCCATAAATGTGGGCCGGTGATTGCAATTAAAATGTATACGGACAAAAATGTAAATATTCTGACAAGTGCTGGTAATGTAGGAAACATCAAGTGCAGCAAAGCTAAATTTCAGATGGAAAAATACTCACATATTTAACAAGAGGTTGTGAAAAATCTGATGGGTTTTTTTTCTGTTCAGTGATAAATGCATTTTAAAAAGCTTTTTTTTTTTTTTTCATAGGGGGGCGCACTCAATGATGAGCATTGTAAATAAGATCAAAACCTAAGCGTATGACTGTCGAGCAGCGTGCACTGTAAAACTGAATACTTTGCATTTCTTTGCCGTGACCAATGAGGTGAGAAACAGTGGCCGGACTGCCAATGAGTTCCATGCGTTACCTTTCCTCTTAGTCTCTTCAAACTCCCTGCGAGCCGACTCGATGTAGCGCTGCACCAGAGCTCTGATCACCTGCTGGCGGTACGGAACTTGGCTGTCCTCTGACCCCTTTTTTTGTTGGACACCACAAATACATAGTTCTAATTATATGTGTAGCCCATATAAGAAAAAAATAAAATACACGCTCATTTTTATTCATTTGTTTCGTAATATGAAATCTTACCAAAGAAGCAATTGGTGGGTATTTCGCAGAATCGCAGTTTATGCAACAGCAGATACGCTGAAAGATGAACCTGATAAAGGAGTTCAAATAAACAGATTAAAACAGATGGGGGGGGGGGAGGTCAAGTTCCTTTGCGGGACGTGTTTTTTCTCACCTTAATGTGTAAAAGAAAGCTTTGGGTGATGGGATGATGTTGAATGGGACAGGGATGGTGAGTCCCTCTCTGAAGTAACTGAGATACAACTTGGACCTGGCAAACTTCCACTCCACATCTGCATCGTCCTAAAATCGCACGCTAACGTAAGAGTGTTGCTACTTTTGGATCGAAATCCATCCAACCACAATTGTTTAGCGCTTGTTCCCATTCGGGGTCCTCTAACCTCAATTTTCTGAAAGGAGTTGGTGATCATTGCAATAAGCATGTTGAGTAAGACGATGACAATGAGAAGCGTGAAGATGCCGTACAGAATCCGTCCAACAAATTCAGCCAGTCCAAACTGCGGCATGTCCACGTAGTCCTGGTTGGCCACACCGAACATGGTCCAGAAAAGAAAGTGAAAGGTCTCATTAAACCTGCAACGAAAAATCCAAATGAAGATCAACGAGAAACAAATCTCAGGACAAGAAAATCTTTGTCTCAGTTCAAGTGCTCAATAGCACTGGGGAATAATTGAGATTTTTATGCCGATTAAAATTAAATTGGCAATCTGATTCCAAAATTGCCGTCAGTATTTTATTAGCATGTCAATTTTTTTTTCTCCACAGCTTCCCAGATAAGCAAAATGTCACTGATTATCTCTCGTAAGACTTCGTAAATTATTACAACTGGACTCATCTTCCAGCGACGTGAAAACTTGTTTGTGCACCCACCCAGTAGGTCAGTACGATTAATATCTGCAAACGGAAAGCTAGCATTGTAGGCTGGCTTATAATTATTGATTTATTTTAAAACTGCTGTCAGACCTAACTCAACAAAAATCTTTATTCCTACAGACGTTATTCAAACCTAGTGAAGCTTACACTCCTCACCTGCCAAGATGCGGAGAGATGACATAAGGGACGTAGACATTGTTGATACCGCATAGGAAGGCCGTTCCAATGATCATGAGTATGAACATGAATCTAAAAAGCCGCAACAAAGATGACGCTGAAACCCTGAAGACGGATTCGTTCGCGCGAGGGCATGCAAAGAGCGCGCGCGGTCACCTCATCATGTCATCAATCATCTTGCCAATGGATATCTGGAGCGTTCCGAGGGACTCGTGCGCCGGGAGAATGTAAGCTAGCCTGGTGAAGCTCATCATGCTCGTCACTGCGAACAGGACCTCCGCGATCAGCTGAGGGTCTTCCTGATGCCAGTCGGCACGCACTGCCGCACAGAAAGAACCATATTAGCGAGAGCCACTTTGACCAGATGAGGCGACGACCCCGTTTGTTTTCCCAACCCGTCTGGTTGAAGTAGACACACTCGGCTGAGCCATTACTGTCAAGACAGAGGAAATGACCCTTGAGCATGATGAGCACACGTAAGGCGAAGGAGGCCAAGTACATGCTGAGCACCATCATGTCTAAGCAGTTCCACCAGTCCAGGAAGTAACTCCTCAGACCCTCGATCCACACTTCCTTGCACTCATACCAGAAGAAACCTGGAGAGACGAAAGCACCTCTTGACTCAAGCCCGATTTGAGAGCCGTTGACGGCGATGAGAGCGTGCACCCACCGACCACCCAAACCATGTGGAAGGAGCTGTGCAGGATGTTCTGTTGCCGCGCCGCAAACTTCTCCCGATACAGCTCCATGGTGATCGATTCACCGAGTAAGGTGATGAGGAACCACAGGTAGGAGGCGGAGTGAAGAAGGAACTTGATTACAGGCGTCCTTAGTATCTTTCCCACCTGAGGCGGAGAGTCAACATTTGAAGCACCACAGCTGGGCCCCAAATAAATTTTAATCAAGAGCTGACTTTTGCTGACCTTTGACTTTGGTGCAATCCAGTAAGCGAGGCAGAGGAAGGGCATTGTGAAAAAGATCCCAACAGAGACAAAGAGCTTCCAAGCAGTCCTGCTACCTCTCCAACCCGCCAGGTTGCCACACCAGATTGAAGATAGAACTTGTTGGCAGATGGGGTGGGCGACAAACTGCACAAATGCACCCACGCACACAACACGTACGCCGAAATGATGATGAACACGCGTGAGACTGATTGAGTCTTCCCCATCTCATCACGACATTTTCAGTCACCTGCTTCTGGTTGTAGTTGACGGCGAGGCGCAGTCTTGACAGGTTTGGGATGCCCTCCTCGAAGGCCTGCTCTTCCAAAGCCTCGTGGCTTTCGTCTCCGCAGCTGTTGAGAATGGTGGTCACCTCACTCTGGTTGCGACACATACCCAGCAACTCCACGGCAAACTCTTGACAGAGCTCCTCCAAGGCCAAATATTGAGGCTGCATGGGGAAAAGGAGCACAGACGTTGATCGAAGCAGGACTCGAGCCGGCCTCAGACCTGCGAGGCAGATATTCTCACCACTAGTCCATCATGCTGCTAAGAGGCAAGAAACGACATTGGGGGAAAAACAAGCACTGACCTTGAACTCCGGCTCGTTACGAGAGAGTTTGCGGAGCTCTCTGCTGAGACTGAAAGCGCTGAGCATGGCGTCGTCAGAAGTGATGGAGAGGTAGGCGCGGCTGGCGATGCCGCGGTAGGTGTTGATGCGGGACAGGGAGAACTTGAGCAGGTCGTACTGACGCCCGTTGCGGCACTCCAGACAGGCGCAGGATATCTTGTGCGGCCACGGGATGACGTGACCCTTTTGGGTGAGCATGGTGACGATGTCGTACAAATCTTTCTGGCACGCCAGGGTCAGAGGGGTCACGCCGGGGGCAAACTGCGAGTTGTCAATGGAGCGGTCGAAGATCGCTTGAGAGAAGGAGCGCACGTCCATCTTGTTTCCTTTCTCCTGATCCAGGCGGTCCAGCAGGAGCTTGACCACTCGCGGCTGGTTGGTGTCCACGGCGACGAGCAGGGCTTCGTGAATCTGACGGAAATCAAACTTGACCCCGTGGAGGAGCGCGTCCATGACGCAGTCACTTCCCAGGCGGATGGACAGGTTGAGGGCCTCCCTCCAAAGGCGATCTTCAGAGTCGTCCAGCTGGCGGACGATACCATCGCCGGTTTTGAGCAGACTGCAGACCAGCTCGATTTTCCCTTCCCGGATGGCGCCGATGAGCTCTGGTGGGAACTGCATTTTCTTGTTCATGATCTCGCGCCATTGATCCGGCTGAGACACAGTACAGGTACATTAGAACTGCTTTCAGTGGTTCACTTGTGGATTTTTACCGTATGAATGGTGGATGGAATAAACAAAAATATCTAGCAAGCAATTATCTCGCAATAACACTTGTACTCATTAGATGCAAGGGTGAACCCTGGAGTCTCAGTTGACCGGTCAGGAAGTGAGGGACACCCTGGCCTGGTTGCCAAAAGGCATTAAGAGGTAATGGTAAAGACCAGTGATCAACGTAAACCAATGTCTCCTTTTGTGAGCATAGGCACAAATTAGAATAAGTTGGGGAAAAAAATGTGTGAGGAAACCGGAGACCGTCCCTAAACAATGAAACATAGAAAAATGTTTTTAACACAAGTCTAATAATACATAGGACTACTCACCGTGAGGTTTTGCATCCCTGATAAACATACACAGACACACAAACAGACAGGAACGAACTTGGGAGCGATGATCCTGTTCCACGCAATCAAAACAGATGGAGAGGACAAGCCAAGCAAGCACTTTGGCGTTCCGTGATCATGTGAAGCTCTCTGTCAGGAACCTACATTTCCATCAGTTCCCCATGGGGTTTCCAGCCAATTAAAATGTAACCTGCTCCAAGTGTTTCTGTGGCCTCCTGCATTGAAAACAGAGTCTGGGTATCAATTAAGGTGGTTGTTACTGTACAGGCGGCAGATGTCATCGTTCCCGGAGGAACTGGAGGGAGTTCAAGGGAGTGCAAAAACAAGGAAGACGTATTTATAAAGATTGTTGACGTTCACATCTGGACTGTTGCTAACGTTTTGGTGGTTGCTTTGCTTAACCACATGATGTTGTCCTCCACAGTGATACATAGTCAATTCATGGTGTGAATCGGAAAAACACTTCTAAGACTCCAGCATCATGTTAGCTTGCTTGCTGGCTACAGTATGTTCGTGCTTGAAACAAACCAAATCTTTAGTGTATTATTCTACTCATTCAGCTGGGCTTCATATGTTACACCAGTAGGGGGTGCTAAGAGACTGCCTAAAACGAAAACCTGTATTAATGCTTCTTGCGTGTGAGTCAATGAAGTTTCATTTAGAGATACCCATTTCAGTTTCCTTTCCCAAGCGGTTGTGTTTTATTGGTTTGTCGTGAAATATAAACACTTAAATCTGGCCACAGCTGTTTGACAGCAAACAAGATCAAGTACTTAACTTTGTGATGTGCGAGATAACAACTTAAGGGCAAGGATGAGCTCAAGGGAAGTGAAGGGTGAAAAGTGGTACAAAAACCCCTTAACCCTGGAGAACCCACAGGGTCAAATGTGGCCCCTATAAATTCTGCTACTCAAATGGTACCCTTAAATCCCAAAGGGTCAAATTTGGCCCTAATTGTAAATTAGGATAAAAGCATTAAATATTTGAGAAAACATATATTTTGGTGTTCAGTGAACATATAGCAGTCATTTAATGTATAAGTCATCATTTTCCAAAGAAGAAAAGGGTTCTTATGTTCTCCAGGGTTAAACAAATAATGACTTTGAAGGAAATATTTAGAACCATTTCAAGAAGTTGCTTAATTAAAGCAAAAAAAATAAAATAAAAGCTAAGTTTGACTTTAAATCTCTGATAAATAATGGTAAACAATGGTCGGATTTTTAGCATCATGCAAACAACTAGCAAAAAACAACTTGGCTGCTCAGTCACCCAACACTATTTTTTATAGCTATATTTTTCAAATAGGCTCAAGAGGTCCTTCCATCCACAAAAAAACAATTAAAATGCAGACATGTGGATGATGAGCAAACCTGATGTTTTGTATTTGTGCCCAAATACCCCCCCAAAAAATAATCACTGAGCTCTGTGAATTCTCAATTAAAAAAAAAAAAAGATTCAAACGCAAAAATCCGTGCACTTATCGTGTCACTGAAACTTCATCTAAATAGACACAGCGGATAGAAAGTCGAATGCAAGGTACTTGGATTGAAGCTCTACTATTTAAAGTTGAAACAGTGGCAGTTTTGTGCCAATCCCAGTTGAGAGTTTAAATGTGAAAAATACTAATTGAATTGGAAAGGTTATATGCCACATAAATGTGTACAAAATTTAGATTTTTTTTCCTGATTTTCGTCTTGTTTTCTTTTTATATTACAAAAACCTGACATTTGAATTTGCACATAGACTTTTTTATATCCACTGTATCCTGATTTAACAAATGTTGCATCATGATTGAACCATTTTATCGCTTTATTCTCTTTATCTACATTTATTTTTGTGCTTGCAAACACTGTTTTTCTTCTTTCTACCCCCCAAAATTGCTGCTGTAGACTGTAAATTTCCCCAGTGTGGGACAAATAAAGGATATCTTATTTTATAATAACATTGTGAAAAATCTACATCTTGCTAAAAAAGGTTGCTCGAAAGACAAGTTAGCACTGTGTCTCAGTAATGTTTCGAGTGATGATTCAAACACAAATAAAAGCGGCACATAAGCTGACTGTAAACAACAACAAAAAATTGTCATTTGGTTATCCCCCCGGCCTGATATTCACAAATTATTCCTTAAAGAAATGTTAAATACAAACTAAAAACACACACTAAAAAAACGAGAGTTCATATTGTGACCAAGAGCGCGGGGGACAGCTCAGTAGATTCTTAACCCATGTGCTGCAGTCGATCTAAATAAGTTTATATAACGCAACATACAATTTTACAAAAATTGTAAAAGTATTATTCCTGAATATTTCACTTTCAACCACTCGACATGTTCAGTGGCATCAGTGCTATACATACACATATAGTTCTTATTTTTTTCTTTGTATTTTTGCCCTCTATGGACAATAAAAGCGGTATTGTGCTATGACCAAAACATAAATCTATATGAATAAAACATGAATTGGAATATTTCATATCACACACTTTTTATGCTGTGTCTTTGATTTTTCTTTTCTCTTCTTTCTACCCACAATCTTGCTGCTGAAGGCTGTAAATTTCCCCAGTGTGGGACAAATAAAGGATATCTTATCTTATCTTAAAGATGACAGTACGCAAAAATCTACAAAAATTGTAGAAATTGTAACATATGGGGTAACCCATGTGTTACAAACATCGTAGAAATTGCAGCACAAGGGTTACTGGTGCTCCTTTCGGGATTCCGCATCCTCCTTCATCTTCTGTTCCTGCATGCGATTGCGGGCGGAGGCTGGATAGAAAAGTAGTTGGGTGTTAGCGTGGCAGTCAACTGAGCGGTGCCATTTTGACTCATTTAATGAATGATCCATGTTGAATTTGAAAGCGTGAACACCAACAGAGCAGTTACTTGCTTACTTAAATCGTTGAGCCTCTGGATCAGTGTTGAATCTCCATCGGATTTGCTATTGAAAGAGAAAAAAAAAAAACGCACAAAAAAAAATTATGCATCAAAAAATATTTTGGGATGTAATTTCCTCTCAATGTTACACAAGGGGATTTTTCACCAACCTGCCACCGGGCTCATCTTGCCCATCAACATCAAATCGTAACCTCTTCAGAATTTTGGGGGCGCCTCCGTGATCTGAGGTTCTCTTCAAAGAGCGATCGCCGCTGCTGACCATCTGGTTGATCTTCTGGAAGCGATTTGGCGTCTACACATGTCAACGTGACATGAAAAAAAAAAAAAAAAAAAAAAAAAAAAAAAACGATATTGCAATTATTCATCGAGACAAAGTTGCAAAATATGCATTGTAGAAAAGAAAACAAAGGAACATACCCCAAATGATTCACCGATGGAAACCAGCATTCTGCAGAGAGACAAACAAGTTCAGTCAAGCAGACACAGACATTGTTGGGGTGCCACTGTGAGACGCTGACCTGCTGCGAGGAGTCATGATGCCCGGGGAGCGGGTGCTCTTCATCGGCGAGATGTACACGTTGCTGCTTCCGGGCACACGCAGAGGGGAACTGGGAAATTTATAAGGGCTGCACGGGATTTGTGGGATCGGAGAGAGAGAAGGCGGCTGGAGGGGGAAATAAAAACAACCGGCAAACCATATCAATATGTAGGAACTTGAAGAACAATAAATTGACCTTGTTAAATGCAACCAATCAATTTAAGCTATTACAGCTACATTTGACAAGACATTTATATCTTTGGATTATTGGACGAGGGCATCCCTTGTGATGAAATCCATATTCGCTTTAATATGTTGCTGGAATTGTGACGAATCCATCTTTGAGTGTAATACATGAAGCATGTTTAACCTTTGATGATTGAAACTATGAAGAAAAAAAACACTACAAAGCAAACTGAACGGAACGTTATCGCTTGGTGGAAACGTAGCACAATATTTGGGTATTTTGCCTTACTCTTGTGGATGCATATTGTAGGATGTTGGTTTTCAGCCTCTGCATGAACACTTGATTGTAGAAGACGATGATGGAGTCATAGTGGTCCTCTGCGATCAGCACATGCTTGAAAGTCTGCACATAAACAGACATGTTGAAGCCTGGGGGGGAAAGGAGGGGGGTGGGCAATTAAATATGAGGCTCGTTGAACGATATCGTCACCTCCTGGTTGGTGTTGGGCATGTTCTTGTACGACGACACGATGGCCTTGAAGCGCAGATCCACACTCTTCACTTTGCATATGGCATACATGGCTGACATCATTAACTAGAAGAGAACATGTGGAGGGAGATCCTGAGTGGGTGAAAATATTAACACACAAGACAAACTTGTCAGGCTACCTGGTCGAGGTGACGATCTCTCATCAGCTCGTACTTGTGCTGCAGAGTGTGCTGGAAGAGCGTCCAAATGATGGGCTCCAGCTCCGGATAGGGGGACAGCAGATAGGAGCAGAGCATCTTCAGCCTGGTGTAGGCCAGGCGGTACACTGCAAGGACGGAACCGAATGAACATCAGTGGCTCTGTAAGAATTCGGGCCAGACGCATATCAAATGACGTGGCTGAACTTGACACAAGTGGATAAATGCCCCCCCCCCCCAAAAAAAAACCACAGATGATCCTGTTACCTGCTAACTTGCAGCAAAGAACAACAAAATGCAGCAATTAGCGTCGGGCTGGGCAATAATTAAGTCGAAATATATAGCGTGATCGATACCTGATAAATATTTAATATTCATTTGTTTAAAAAAAGATCAGGAAGCAAACACCAACCACCATTCTGCGTGCTGTAGGCAGAAACTACAGTAGGATGATCGATGTGTGCCACAAGTACATCCACCTAAATTTGGAGCACAAAAGCATCTTTTACGACCAATATTCTGATTGGCCCGCGACCGTAGCGAGGATGAAGCGGTTCAGAAAGTGAATGAATGAATATTCTGATTGGTATTTTTCATCTTGATAGTTGTTTCATTTTCATCTTTCATCAATTTAATTGCTTTTCTTATTTTTTAAAAAAAAAAAAAAAAAAAAAAAAAAAAAAACACATTGTAAACCTCGGAACCTGTGTATTGAATTTTCCTTGAAATGATGGTTGATGATGTATTTCTTACAAGTAGATTTACCCGGAAAAATAAAGTTTCAGTATTGAATCATACATTTTTTATAGAAGAGGCTGAGTGAGTTGGACTTCAGGTGCCGAGGGTTCTGGCCCGCGGCTTGGGGTGCGGGCTGGCTCGGTGCCGGAGCGGCAGCTGGTGCGCCGGCCGTGGCGGGGGACTCGGGAGGCACGATGCGAAGACACGGGCGAACGGGGGACAGGTACCTGGCACAAAAGAAAAAAAATTGCAGCGTAAAAGACGTTGGAAATGCAAGGTGACCAAAATTCCCCTCAGCCATTTCAATAGGTCAGCAAGCGTACGCGATCACTATTGTGTAGCTTAGCCGACGTTTAAGTTACCCTTCTCAAATTTAGCTGTCTTGCTATCCACATAATTAATCATATTTGTAATTGTGTACACAGAGGGCCTCGCTCATGAAATTGGTGATTCTGATTCATGGCGCTTTTGCAACATTGAAGTGTTGGCACACAGCGGGCTGGTGGACTCACAGGTCAGCAGCGGTGTGGTTGTGTTGTAAGGGCTGGTTGAAACTAGCAGGCGCCTCCGCTTGTTCCACTGCGCCGCCCTCGTGCTCCTGCTTCAACAGCTCGAAGAGAGGGGAGTCCTGTGAGATACAAGAAAAAGCGGCGCCTTAAGAAAACACCAATTAAAAAATAATAATAATAATGACATTCCAACAATAGTTGCCTTCACAGATAGCCTAAATTAAAATTTTATAAAATAATAATAATCAAAAGGGACTTTTACAGTAACTGCACAGTATACTGGTTTACTTTTCATCGGTGTGATATCGTAGTATCTCACTTCATGCTTTCTCACTTGGAATGTAGTGTGGGCCAAGCCCAATTTGCTCTTTTAGGCCTGCAACTTGTGCGCGCTTCTTTTGCAGCCTGACCACATCCTGCCGAGCCAATGGCATTTGATAAACCCAGCTGCAGCCTTCCCTGACATTTGGTTCGCTAGCTAAGCCCAGTGTTGACTTTTTATAAAACCGAAGTGACATATATATTTTTTAAAAAAGTGATAAACATTCTTGTCAGCAGCGAGGTCAACCAGCTTCAGAGAATATAACGCACACATATAGCAGCCAATAAAAAGGAAATCCACATATCGTGACATAAGTTCCTACACCAATATTGAAATTGAAGGTAGGTGCAACAACAGTCGAAGTGGGAAGGCTTTGGCCCGAGCTTTCGGCTCCTCCCTTTTCTTTTGTCTTGGATTATCTGACACGCTCGCAGCTTGTAAAAGACCTTCAGACCAAGCAGGCTGGCTCCAGGAAACACAGAACTGATACAGTAACAACGACAAAAAAAAAAAAAGTGGGGGGGATCACTTTATGTTTTGTACAGCTGAGGACAGACCGCCATGTGTGACTTTTAAGAAAAGGGAACGCAAAATCAACTGAAGAACAAAAGTGATAAGACTGAGAGCTTCCCACTATCGGCGATTATTATGCAACGTATGAGGATGAATACGTTTGGATCCAGCAAAAGGTATTGAGGAAGCTTCTTCATCATTTTGGGGCCATTTTTTTTGTCTCTCCCTATGCAAATGCAAACAAATGGACGGTTACAGACTGGTGGTTAAACGGGTTTTTTTTTCCCGACTGGCACGGGACAACTTCTCCATTCTGTAAATATTACCGACTCACCAGCTGGATTTCAAGATGTATAACAGTACACTGGGCGCCGCGCACACTTCCATCAAGTGCAACAAGAGCGACGACTTCAAGTACCCTCTGTACAGCACCGTTTTCAGCCTGGTGTTTGTCTTCGGATTCCTCTTCAACCTCGTGGCCGTCTACATTTTTGGGTGTACGCTGAAGCTGAGGAATGAAACCACCACGTACATGGTGAACCTGGTGGTGTCGGACTCTCTCTTTGTCCTCAGCCTGCCTTTTCGGATCGTCTACTTCATTAAACGGGAATGGATGTTTGGCAGCGAGCTGTGCAAGATTTCCGTGGCCCTTTTCTACACCAACATGTACGGCAGCATCTTCTTCCTCACCTGCATCAGCGTGGATCGCTTCCTGGCCATCGTGCACCCATTCCGCTCTCAAAAAATTCGGACCAAGCGGAACGCCAAACTGGCCTGTGTTACGGTGTGGGTGCTCGTTCTTTCCGGGAGTATCCCCACCGGGTTCCTTCTGGACACCACGTCGCCCAAAAATGTCAACTCTTCGTCCAACTACTGCTTTGAAAACTACTCCAGTGACCAGTGGAAGTCAGAGCTGTCCAAGGTGGTGATGTTTATCGAGACGGTGGGCTTTGTGATCCCACTGATGGTCAACGTTTTTTGCTCCGTGAGGGTGCTACAGACGTTGAAGAAACCGCAGACCATCAGCCGCGGCGGCAGCATCAATAAGGCAAAAGTTTTGAGGATGATCATCGTGCATCTGCTCATCTTCTGCTTCTGTTTCATCCCCTACAACGTGAATCTCATGTTCTACTCTCTGGTCCGGACTAAAGTCCTCAAAGGGTGCCACGCAGAATATGTGGTGAGAACCATCTACCCCATTTCACTGTGCATCGCCGTGACCAACTGCTGTTTCGATCCTGTTGTTTATTACTTCACTTCGGAGACCATTAAGAGCTCCTTCAAACGCAAGTCCACCGCGTGGCACAACGGTGTCAGGCTTCTCGACAGGTTGCAAGGGGACAGTGCCCAGAGCACCCCAAATTCTACACCTCGTCTGGCCTTGAGGTCTCTGAAAACCAAGTTCACGGACACAAAGGGTTCCAACTCTAAAGACAAATCCACAATGTGACGCCTTGAGAAGTCATGAACAGACACTTGGTGAAAAATACAAGGACTGACAACCAAAACAGTCAGCTAGAGCAAAAGACACTGAATGGACACGAATGAGTGGAAATCAAGACGTTGACGCTTATTCAGCACATAAAAAGGAGGACATTGGACGGTATCAATAATCGTGTCATGGTGTCAAGACAAACAGAATTTTATGCTGTACTTTCACTGACTAGTGACACTGTGCGCAAGTGACAAGTACAATTTTTTTTTGCACATGAAATGTAGGGCTGTTTTTTTATTTTTTTATTTCTGTGCTGAAACCAGTATTAGAGCTGTTTTGATGTACTTTTCTTTTACTTTCTTGATGTCGGTTCTATGTACTTGAGGTCCCGGAAGGCTTTCAGGCACTTTATGGAGCGCTACACCCTCAGACCGCTTCATTCCAAAAGTACTAAATAAAGCAGTTAAGGGCTGGACTTTGCTTGATAAAGAAGTGTGGTGTGGCTTTTTTTTTTGAATGTATCAGTCGCTGCTGTGTAACCAAACTATAAGTCGACACGTCTGAGTCATACATTTAATTACGTCACCACTGACAATATTCTGACTGGCTGATGCCACAAAGGCACAATGACTCAAGCAGCTTTCAGGTGTGGTCAATGATTAACAAAACCCAACGAATAGGCAACCGTTTAACAACACTATACCGGCTCTGAACTGAACAACTTAAGTGAAACAAAATCTGTCACGAAGCAAACTTTGGGCACTTTGCTTTTATCGATCCGATATATCACAATTGGAACGCGTGCCAGGTCAAATGAAGAATCCCGAATAGCTAATAAATTACAAATTGAAGATTATTCAACTCTGGGGAATCAATCAAAATGGAAACTGACAAAAGTGAAATCAGGACAAGGGGACATGGCGTAGCTCTGAGTGTATGCGAAATAGTTGTCCTTGCTTGCAAGACTGAGCGCTACAACATTCCTGTCAGGAAGCTTTGCCCGAGGGTCTGCCCCGACACGGGGGAAATGCTTCACTACCCGTAAAACATCAGCATGCAAGCAACAACACGCCGCGAGAAACGTGTTGGATTCTTTCACCAAAGTTTACGTCAGACTCGCAGGATTGCAACTCAGAATAATGACAACGCCCCATTCGACTGAGTGGAATATGGAATTATTCCTATCAAAGAGGAACAGAAGTCGTTTTAACCTATTCAGAGGTAATGAAACAAAAGATCATTGGCAAAGGGCTAAAAACTATAGAGACTTTTTTTTAAAATTAAACAAAAAAACAACAACAACATTTTCAAAACCCTGCCACTAGTTGGTGTCTCATGATGACATCATTGTGTCACTCCTTCTGGTCTGTACACTGCACGTTAGTCACAAGGGGGCGGTGTAAAACAGACATTGATCCACGTTGGCAGACGGTCACCACGACTAAGGTGCAATAAGAGTTGCTTTTCATCGAGGATAATGTATTGATCCCTGTGAGCATATTGTTAAATTGTCTGTCGTCATGTGTTGCGCCTCCATTTGGATTCGAATACGCACGCTTGACGTTTACTTTGATTGCAATAAAAAGCTTTTTGAAGAACCGTTATTTGCCAAACGGCTGCCTGTTGTGAAGCAAGTTGCGCTAGCGCATCTCGTGTTTCAGTTTTTTTTGCAGACGAGTCAAAGCAAAAACACGGCTCAGCAATGGCTTCGTTGTTTTGAGTACATTTGTTGGGGTTGGCATTCTTTGACAATGTGCAAAAAATACATAGTGCTGCTATTTTTTTTTTTTAAATCTAGTTTTGTCAAAAGAAGATGATGCATATAATCAGGTTAACAACTATTTCATCAAGTGTAAAGACATCTTAAACATATGCTGTACACAAATGTACATTACAGTATTTTCATAACCATTAGTACCTATTTTTGATTCAAAGTAGCACTTACTTGAGAGCAACTCAGTTGGTGCACAAATTAAGTTAATGGTTAACCACACTTAGTTTTTAACAAGCAGCCATAAACGGGCGTCCTCCATTTGCATTTCATTTTGAATGTTGGTCACAGTTTCGTTGGAAACGATAGCATGTCAATATGAGGTCGACCTCAAACAATGTGATTGGTCGCCTACTCAAGGTTCAGGTGACCAAAATGTAACGCGAAAAAAACAATGTCAGGCTTGAGGGAGAAGAGAGAGAACATGCCAGCATGGATGTGTTGTGCTACAACATCCTAACTGCCTCGTGCTGCTGATCACCAGCTGTGAAGAAAAATGACGTTGGTATCGTGTCAAACATGCTGGTGAGTGAGATCCTGATCGCTTTCAATGCTATACATTCATGAAATGAAGATCGCCTATTATAAAGTTTAAAATAAGATTTGCGTCCAATTTAACTTTGCTACTCTATCATTGGTGTGCACTCATTTTTGCAATTCATTAGCTCAATAAAAACTTTTGCGAAACGAAAAAAATCTCATTTTAGTATTTTGTGATGTAGCGGGTCACCTAATGTTTAAAAAAAAAAAAACATCCTGAAAGGAACCACGAGATGGTCTAACAAATCGGTTGGGGTCGCAAAACACAACTCGTTTAGGTTGTGTCATGTACATTTAAAGGCACCTTGGTAAAAACTTTTGTATGATTTAAATTTAGCCTAAAATGTTATTTAAATCCCCTGTGCAGTGCTTCTCAATGATTTATGTCCCTCCCCAGGAAGAAGAAAACATTTAGCGCCCCTCTAACTCTGCCGTAACTATGAATAATCATCATTTGTCAATGAAATTGATTTAAGTACACAGTTGCATAACATATGTATGTATATATATATATATATAGAGAGAGAGAGAGAGAGAGAGAGAGAGAGAGAGAGAGAGAGAGAGAGAGAGAGAGAGAGAGAGAAAGAGA